CAAGCCTCCAAAGGGCAGCAGTCTCTCTCTCTCTCTCTGCATATATATATACACACGAATTTATGTAAGTACAATAGATACATACGGATGTATATACATACTTACAATATACCTATACATGTACGATTGATTATACATATTTACTTTACATGCTCACACACACACACACACGCACACACACGCTCACAAACACACACCCACACACACACATATATATATATATATATATATTACACACACACATATATATATATATATTACATATATATATATATATATTATATACACGCACACACACACACATATATATATATATATATTTGCATATATACATATACATACGCATGCATCATGCGCGTGGATGGCTGGATTTAGTTTTGGCATTTGGACTTCGTCCCCGCCGCGCCGCCTTTGACCGTAAAGCTGGAAGTTCCCAACGGCGGTTTTCGGCGCAGCCATGGTAACTCGGTGCCAAGTTGGTGTCTCTGGGGTTCTCATGGGATTAGTTTGAGTAAACCTATGGGGTACCCTCTGGTAAAAACTAACATAACTATGGAAAATCACAATTTTTCATGGGAAAATCAACTATAAATTGCAATTTTCAATAGCTATGTTAGCCTACGGGAGGGTAAACTCCTGGGGGGTTCAATGGAGGTAGTTCTCGGAGATACTCTCTAAGGTGTTTCAATGGGGGCTTAACTGGGATATACGGGGATTTGTGGTGATTAATGGGACTACAGATAAGAGGGATTGAATGGGAGTAACAGCTTAACACTGCTTAAAAGTTAGGTGTATGGTGATTATAACGGATCAATACGGATCATAACGGATTATAAGCAACCGCCCCGCAGAGCCCAAAAAAGGACTTGGACCTGGAAATGCACGGAGATGCGCAATTGGCGAGGCAGAATTCCCCGGAGAAAGATCTGGATGAAGTTTGATGATCTCACATGGCGACGTCATTGGGATCTTTTTTTGGGGGCTACACCATTCCAAGTTCGTTTGTCATTCGCTTTGCCTTTTCAGAAACCCAGGGGATGAAACCCAAAAGCACCCAAAAGCACCAGCCAGGCGCTTTGGCTCTGTTGTGTCTTGGCAGACCTGGGTCGGGGGTGCGGTTGCCGCTCCGGAGATCTGGGTCCCCATGGGTCCCCTGCGGGGTCCCCATGGGTCCCCAGATCTCGCCAGCTACGAGGCAAGTTCTCCACCATGCTTCGGTCCCTCGTGTGACGATGATGTGCGGCAGTCCATCAGCAATGATCGTGGCTGGGCACATGGGCGAGTGGCGAGTGGTATGGGTCGCATGGGTTTCATTGGGTTTCTTCAAAATTGGGGATGCCCCAAGATGGATATCAATTTCTCATATGCAGTGGGGAATGTGAATTTTCAAACAGCTGGATTTTAGCAGCAAACGCTAAACACCCCCTTGGTAATCTTGGTATGTGTTGAATATGTTTCTGTTGTGGTCTGGTATGTTGGGGTTTGCGGTTCGGGGGGATGGATTGTTCTCCATATTGTCGTTCACTCAGCCAGTACCTAATCGACAGATGGTCTGCATTCCTGGCGGGTCAATTGATCATTGTCTTTAGTCATAGTCAATTCCAGGGAAATTCCAAAACAAGTACATGTCCAGATGCCATCTTCAATAGAATTTGACTGTGTTATCGTTTTTTTCTCTCTCGCAGTGTTTTCAAACATTTTTTGCCCTCGGGTTTTGCAGAGCACATAAGCAAAAGGTGTTATGTAGAGCCACCCTTCAATTAATTGAACGTTTTTCCAGTGTCTGAATATGGTCATGTCTTCATTGAAGACCTTGTTGAGACCTTGTTTGGGGGGGTGAACCCCATTTACCCAGCTATTTTGGTGTTCACACGGGTACCCATATAATAAGCATAGAGGCGAGGGACCTGGGATTAGGAGGATCTGAATGATTGGAGTCCTTAAAGTAGCCAAGGGATCCAAGGGTCAAGGAAAGGGTTGATGACACATAACACCTCTCAACTTTCAGCTGGAGACAAGGAGATGCACAGTACTTGTGATTTTCAGAATCACTTGATCGAATTTCAAGGGGTCGTCATGATGGGACCTTCAATCTCAGGTTTCCATCCCCCTTTTGACAAGCCTCTGAAGAAATCAAATGGTATACTGTATCATCCTTTCATGAATGCTTAATTTTCTGGAAATATGCATGCCCAGTTCTAGCATGTATGTACATGATCCAACTATATCTAACTATATAATGACACCCCTGCCCCTTGATGTTGAATACCCCTTAGAAGCCGTGGTTTAGTAGAGGATTTACACATATTTGGGACCATCATTCTATGGGGGTGTTCAATATTGTGGGGATGGGCCGGATTATATATGCAGTATTATATATACATATATATTGGCAATGAGTGGTTCCCAAGCCCCACGATTTTCCCATTGGGGATGGGACTATGCCAATTTTGGCAGATTTCCAGCCTGAAGGCTGGGACGAAGATGCTGAAAGTTGCAGCATTTGCCATGCCTTGCTGGGACGCCGCAGGGAGACCCGTTGTTTTTTTTGTTGGGGGGAAACCTTCGGCAGTTCATCTTGTTTATACATGTTTACACCATGCGTTCTTTATCCGAAAAATAGGGATTTGGCTGGATATGTACTACCCAGCCAAAAGGACTACAGTGTGTGTATATATATATGTCTCTCTCTCTCTGTGTTTGTGTTCAGACAGAGTATTTATCAGTTGAGTCAAGTCTCCAAAAATCCTCTTTCGATCTCTTTTTCGGTGCGGCAAATCTGAGAGTATTCTGACAGTTTCATAGCTGAAGGTCTGAGACTTAAGCTGCTTTCTGCTAGAGTTAAAGTCACATCATCAGGTAGTTCTTTTCATGCGATCCTGGCTGCATCCTGTCGAAGTTCCACGTGTTTTTCATTGTTTTTCAATGCAGAAGAACCCCCCACACACACACACACATATATAATTATATATATATATATATTTCCCGTCAGCTTCCTATACATAATGGCTTGATGTGGAGTTTGGACATGGTTGTGATCAACTTTCAAAGCCTCCTGGCGTGATTCATCCTGTGCTGGTGCTCCCCTGAGGCCGGTTGCGGTTACGCCACCACTGCCGCATCTGTGGGCGGTGCATTTGTGCCTCCTGGCGTGAGCTCCGACGCAAGGTTTGTGGCCCATGCTTGGAATCTACAAGTTCCATTTCTATCCCTAAAGCATCCTAAAGCCCTAAAATTCCCAAAATATATCAAAATATGTGCGTTTACCAGGGTCAAAGGGCCCGAAAAGGTGTCAAGTTCCAGAGACGGACAGAGGACGGAGTTCCACAACATTTTGGAATGGTCGTAGTCTGGGGATGGGTCAAGACATGTCAAAACCTATGGTACATCACATTACGGGGTGGATGAAGACACATATTTAACAGCTATTTAGGTCAGTCTCAAAATAGGCCAACCCGCAATTTTTGTGGTTTTTCATAATTTTCCGATTTTCAAGGTAATTCTCCCAATTCAAGACACGTTTCCTTCTTAATTTTACACATGGACACTTTCTGGTGGGGAAACCCCAATGTCAGACATGTTCTGTCAGTGTTCATCATTACTTTCCCGTTTTTCAACATGCAAAGAATGGGAAAGTAATGATGAACAGAAATGTTTTCTCAGTTTCCCCGAGATTCTCCCGTCATTTCCCCAAGATTTCCACCAGTGGCACTCATTGGGCCTCAGCTGAGGGCCCCTGCTCGCCGAACATGATCGCCATGCCCGGCGCCGTGGCGTTGCAGAGGGCCTGCACGCCATGCCTGGCGATCGCACCTTGGAGGGGTCCGAAGGTGGCGGCTGGAGAAGTGCCCAAGAAAGGAGGCGATTTCCATGGTAGAACCATGATGTTTTTTGGGAAATCCCATGGGAAATCATCACGAAAATTGAGGATGATAAAATGATATAACATGTTGATAAATGATGATGACTTGTTGATTGGTGGTGATAGTCGTTTAGGATGGATTTCAATGGATTTTAACCAGCAAATATATGCAAATATGGGGTTATAACTGGATATACTGGATATATAAGAGCTGGTTGGTTGATGATTGTTGGGGGGTACACTGTCCTTTTGTGTATGGGGGATTCTCATAATCCATGAGCTCTTTCCTATCAACCAGCCAGAATGAAGGGTAGAAGTGGTCTATAACCCACTAATCTGGAGTATATGATGGTACATGGTTGCTAGCCACTTACTGGGCTGCACCTCAGGCATGTGACACGTGCAGGTACTGTTTTTGACAGGTACTGTTTTTGAGTAGAATCTAGTATTCATGATTCGTTTTTGCGTGTTTTTCCATGGATTTTCACAGGGCATCCATTGTTCGAGTTGCTTCTGGACGATGCGGTTGGCGGACCTATGTCCTGAAATCCACGTGGCCTTGACATTCTCTCTTCTGCTTGCAGGGCACCATGGTTTTGTCGCGTTTTGGTATGTTTTGGTAGAAGTCCCCCCATTGATATAGGTGTTTTGCCTCCCAAACTAGGGAAATCACCATTTGCATCCATTTGCATCTTAGTTTGTTGGAAGATACGCCCCATGAATTTCACATGGACCCCCGAAGAATGGCTTGATCCAAGGGTGGAAAATCATCTTCCAGACCCAATTTGGGTGGTGCAATGCTGTCGATCCGCCGCAGTTTTCGCCAAAGTCTTGACAGCGCGGGAACTCCGTGGCTGGCGGGAGCCGTGTAACAGCCCAGGTCCACTCAGCTGAGGCTTTCTTTCCATCTTTTCCCGGAAAAATCGCTTGATGTCATTGTCAAGGTTCATTTTCGGAGTTGCGGAAGCCAAGCCCAGCTTCAACAAACTTCAAGAATCAGGAGTTGGGGTGTGAATCCCAACCTTTAGATACCATTAGAGTCAGATATTCACCCCTTTTCTTCTTCCCCCAAGCAGCAGAACCGCCCCAACATCATCGCCGCGAACACGGCGCGCGCCGAGCGCGCGTGCGCCGCGCCATGGCGCTGGGCTTCCGGGAGCTCATTACGAAGCTCACGGAGGCACATGAACGAGAAGTGACCAGTGCCGCGGTCCCTTGGCAGAGACCACTTGGCATCATTTTGGCAATTTTGGAATTATTTAGCACAGCATTTCTATTCATTTCTAACATGACGTACAATATATATTATATTATATATATACACATATATTATATTTGACATATATATATATATTATACTATAATATATATATATATATAATAATATATGTATATAAATGTATGTATGTATATAACTGTAAATAAGTAAATATATAACTAAACATTAAATGAATACAGTAAATTCATAAAACATATTTACACACACACACATATATGTATATATATATATAAATATGTATATAATCACACACACACATAGATAGATAGATAGATAGATAGACAGATAGATAGACAGAGAGATAGATAGATAGATAGATAGATAGATAAATAGATAGATATATCCGCGTGTGTGTGTTTTTGTGCGTGCGCGCGTGCTATTTTTCTGGCTTGAAAAAAGACACCGTCGCCATCCTCTCTCAGGCTAAGCTCCGCGAGGCAAACGGCGGGTGTTTTTGGCTGGGGGTGTGGGTCAAAGACTAAGGGCTAAGCCACAGAGTTGGAGAGATTTTGGGAGATTTGGCTCATTTCCAGCATGAATCATTGATTTGGGATGACTTAACTTACGTAGATTTGTGATGATTTGCTCTTTGGCAGATGTCTCGAAATTTGGATCGGTGGATTCACGGCCAGAATTTCTTGTAGCCTTAGTGCTCTGGTCATCACGGTGACCGTAATGTCATTGATTCAGAGAAGAATTGCAAGAAATACATGGGTGTCCTCTAGATTCTCGATTCCATCTAACCACTTCTGGGACACTGTACTGATCGAACTGAAGAGTTTTCACCACGACTTTCCCAGATAAAAGGTATCCGATATCCCTGAGGAAGGTGCCTCGAGATGGCAGGGATCTTTCACCCTTTTTTTTGGTACCCCAAAAAGATAGAAAAGCTTAACAACGAGGATGTTGTTGATGATTTATACATGCGTATTTTGTTTCCAACTGTCCTATGTATTTCGGGCCTGCTATGAGCCCCAATGCATAATTTTGGAGAGTCCATGTGAGTCATGTGAGCATATATCAGCCACGTTCAGCTGCCAGGAAAATTCCAGACTTGAAAAGAAAGTGGAGGACAAGTCGGGTGACCGGAAGCGCAGCAAGGTGATACCATGTGATGCCTTTGGTATCCTTTGGTCACTTAGATTAGGGGGAGTGTAGATAAGAAACAGTATTAATATTACAGACATTTATAGACGATTTATATACCTTCGGTAACCGGTAATCAAACATGGCTGACCAGGAAATTTCCAGCCAGCCATGTCCATGTTTGATTACCACAGGTTCTGTCCCTAATGTCACGAGGGCAGGTCTGTGATGAAAACGGTATAACCGTGTAACCCCCATTTAAGGATTATATGATTGTAATGTTATGGTATATTATGCATATATTACACACACATATATATATATATTATACCACCATAAAATGGCATATGTTATCTTATACATCTTATATGACATACTAATCGCGATAATTATGCGCACTCAGTGGTCATTAATCATAGCTTCAGATAAATGAAACAAACTTTCCACACAGGAACGGCCCCCAGTTGTAAATTGGTTTATAGACGTGTGTAACGCATTCTAAGTACTTCGATATATCCACCATAAATCCAGTCGTTAGCAAAGTTACATATCTATATCTAGTTACATATCTCTATCTCTATCTATATCTATATCTATCTCTATCTCTATCTCTATCTCTATCTCTATCTTATCTTATCTTATCTTATCTTATCCTATCCTATCTATCTATCTATCTATCTATCTATCTATCTATCTATCTATATATACATACATAGAGGGCCTCTTCCTCTATGCTTCCATGATTCCTAGTGGGCTTCTCCTTATTTCCCATATCTATCCTATGGTTATTCCCAGTGTTTCCATATTTTTTGTCACAAATTTCCCTAATTTTTCCACATTTTTCCATGACCGGCTCCACCCAGCCATGGGTCCCGGCGCCGCCATGGCTCAGGACCTGCAGAAACAGATGGGCGTTTCGCCGCCGGTGAATTTGTCTCGGGCCTCGCGGTCCTCGCGGTCCTCGCGAACCTCGCGGTCCTCGAACCAGTCCTGCTCCGACGACGGATCCCGAGAAGCTCCGAAAAGTCCTCCGAAGACTCCTCCGAAGAGTCCCGCGAGAAGTCGAAGTGGGGAGAACGACACCTCGCGACTTGCTGGTGATGGGACTGGTGTGATGTGGAATTGATGGGCTGGGGACTGACTAATTAACATAGATTCATGGAATTTCGTGGAAAATGGATGAGAATGGCGAATTTCTAGATGATTAGCTATGGAATAAAGATAATAAAGGGTGAATTTCATTGAATTTCCGGCATCTATGCTAGTTTAGAGGAGGGTATCCTGGGTTTATTTAGTGATTTGGCTGATTTTACCAACGAGAAATCGACCATGACTGGGGATTCGAGACAAAGGGAAGATGTGTCAGTTTTTGGGGAGACCTCAAGAAAATCCAAGTTGGTTGCGATTTTATGGGTTGATTAAGTTGATTATGGATGTTGATGATGTTGATTGAGTCGGGATGGATGATTGGATAAGAATGAAGCTACGATTGGTGGTGGGTCATTTCGCAGGCATTGTGGTTAAGTTCACCCCTTTCATCAGTGATTTTTTTCCCACTATGACCATCTATGACCCTACGGCCCTCACACTAACCAGAGATAGAATCCAGTAACTATAGTAACTGGGACGACCAAGTAGTACCTGGGCTCAAAACACCTGAGATTTTAATGGAATAGGGGATGTGTAGAACAACAATGACACACGCACACGCACACAACACCCTGTCACAGAAGTCATATGCAAATTATAGAGACATGCGATGCCCTGCAAGGCTGGTTTTGGTGAAGCCAGCCTCCAAAGGCGCTGGAGCGACTGAAAAACAGCTTGCCAAGATCTTTCAATATTTCTATCATTTTAGTTGGCATTACTGAATGAAAATATTACTGATTCTATCATTGTATATGTTTATACAATTATACACACAGAGTATATGTACATGCATTTTGAAGTTGAAGATGGTCGTGTCTCAAACTTATCAAAGAGACATCAATTGATGTTGGTTTGTTGATGTTCTAGCATGTTTTAACCAACAAACAGGCGCGGACATGGCCCCATTGGGCCCCATTGGGCCCCATTGGGCCCCATTGGGCCCCACTGGTCCAGTGGCCAGGCGAGCGCTCGCAGAGTGGGCCGTTGGTCAGCGCTTTGAAGGGCCGAAGTTCCGTGACGTCCCTGATGTCGCAGTCTGATCAGGGGAAGGACTTAGACAGGCGGAGCTGGGCTGGGGATGTGGTCAGAGGCGACGGGAGTTGATCGATGTGAAGATAGGCACCGTGAAATGAACCAATGATTCTACTGAATGTCATGAGATTTCCATTTTGGGGTTTTTGGTGGTCAAAGGGTGCAGATCCAATGCATTCTTGGGGTTGTCATTTTGGGGATTGTGTTAAACTTCCACGAATTGGACCAGCCCAAGTGCTTTGCCCCTGGCAATCAGCATAGACCTTTTGAGTTTCGCTTCGGGATATAGGCCCAAGAAACTGCTTGTTTCGTGGCTGTGAAGCTTTGCGGGAAGTTCAACATGGAACTAAACAAAGAAAGGACGAATGAAGAACTCACAAAGGACTAACATGGGCTTCGAATGCTTCCAAGCTTAAAGAAAAACTCAGATGATAAAATGAGATCAGAAAAAAATGGGACACCTTTTTTCCTAATTTTTCGCCTCATCAAACATCAAACGTTGCAGGTTCCCTACCCGCCAGGTCCAAGCCGGCGGCGATCCAAGTGGAGTCGCTGGTGCCTGGATGCAGCTGGTGAAAGGTGTGGGGAAAACGATGCCATAAATGCACCATCCCCCAGTCATCAGCATTTTTTTGTAGGTGGTATATATAAATTAAACCATTCCCAGTCATTATATTGGACAATTTCAGGATAGTCCGTGGGATAATGATTGGATGGTGATGGGTGGTATACATATTCAACAATTCCCAGTCATGGGTGGTAAACATATGTAAAAATGACATTGTTTTACCCACAAAATCATCCCTTTGAAGCATATGAAATACCATGAAATAGCCACAGGAAGGGGCCCAACATGTCCTTAATAGATCACTTCAGCGGGATAACGGCATTGATGGGAAGCACTGTGAGTAAGCTGAAGGCCCCAAGGGTTAAGTTTGATAAGTTTGGTTGTCATATCTGAATAGATCTTAACATGATTGCCCTGAAAGGGACTATAAGGGACTATTTCTATACAACCAGTTGAGCCAGCAAAAATGCCCTGGTTGCTTGCTTCCTTGTTGCTCCACCTGGTTAGCACGTATCCAGGTAAACTATATATAGCGACCTCTAGCCGAACTCACTGTTTAAAATGATGGCTACTAAGGGAACCCCCAACGAGTCTTAATTTTTTCTCCGGATCTAGGAAGTATATATGGTCATTTACCTGGAAGCATGGTTTACTTACTATCACTTTCTATTCCATCCTTGCCGATAGGAACCCCGTGGATTTGTTTATTGGGATGATCTTTCCACGACGTTTCGTGGTGGAAAGCTTATATATTTGAAGCCAACAATAGTAAACATTAGTACACCATAACCATGCTACATTTTTTTAAAGTCATTCTTTGCTAATCTTTGAAAAAACACCGGCTGACACGTTTCACGGTGTGCTGGAAGCGCATAAGCTGGTGACATCCTGGTGACGATCGTTAGCACAAGTTGTTTGCGATGAATGACCCTATGATAAAATCGATACCCTCTGGTAAATTAACATAGATATGGAAAATCACCATTTTTAATGGGAAAACTCACTATAAATTGCCATTTTCAATAGCTATGTTAAATAACCAGAGGGTAATACAATATGGCTGTTCAGAAAAAAAAGAGAAACTCAACTTACATGGATGATTTCTGGTAGTTAAGTTGTTATCCCCTCAAAGGATGCAGCTTGTGAAACATCAACAACTTCCAGGAAGGCACCCCCCAACAAAAAGTTGATTGCTATATATAGATATAGCGTGAGATATCCATGGATCCTATCTATCATTCAAGGATAGGAATCTATCTATAGGTAAATCCATATGAATCATGAATTTAACCAATTTCCTATTCATAAACCAACTTACGTAACCCTCAGGAAGGCCCCCTTCCTGTCACTCAGGAGGTCCCTTCTACGTCTGACGCCCAACCTGTAGTCAGTCCGCGTGTCTCCTTTAGCGAGCCTTGGACACACCCTGTGGTTCTGGGGTGCTGGCTACCTGCAAAACATGGACAGTTCTTCAAGAAATCATGGTGTTGAGATACCCTCTGATAATTTTGACGCTTTGCGAACTGGAAAGTCGCAAAAAATAGGTAAATCCTCATAAATCATCTATAGATATCATTCCTAAGAACTGAGAATTCCTGGAAACACGTGGGGTCTGACTCTCTGAACAGGGATCCAAACTCAACCCACCCAAAAATACAGAAAATATGGACTCCGCAGAGCATCGACATTGAATCCCCCAAGATCGGAACGTATTCGCAACAAGACAACTGAGGGATTTCACCAACAAAACGGGGAGCAACAACTGAGGGATTTGCCAGCGGGCAGAGAAAGCTACGCAAGGGGCTCAAATCACTTTGCCATAGTCACCCTGCCAAAACCAACTATCATCTTGGTGGCTAGAGTATATTGGGATATATACCCTCCGGTTATTTAACATGGGCCATGGAAGATGGCCCATTTATAGATGGTTTACCTGTTAAAAATGGTGATTTTCCATGGCTATTTTAAATAACCAGATGGTAATTGATCTAGTGCATTGCGAGAACACACCAGGTTCTCCAGAAATTTGCATGGAAACTTCCCAAGTCGCAATGTTCGATCAGATTCAATCACCTTTCAACCGGGTTTTTCTCAGGTTTTTCGTGTGAGGTTTGAGTGGATCTCCCAAGATCAACTGGAGTGCGATCTGGGAGTGCGAAGCCACTGGTGTGCGATATCATCAGATTACATGGGCTAAGTTGAGATATAAGTGGCTTAACTATGGTTTATGGTACCCTCTGGCTATTTAACATAGCCATGGACAATGACCCATTTATAGATGGTTTACCTATTAATAGCATGTTGATTTTCCATGGCTATGTTGAATAACCAGATGGTAGATATAACTATAGATAACTATATATATATATATTATATAGTTAATGGGTGTTATAAACCAACTTATAACTGGAGGGGCCCCTCATAGACTGGAGATGGTCGGCCCAGGAGCAACAGGCGGGTGCACATAGGCTCTCCCAGAGCTCAGCAAGTCCACCGAATGGAGGACTCAAGGTGTCCTTTGGGAATCTCATGGGCATGAGCAGCTGGGCCGAGCTGGGCCGGTCAATGGGATGGAACCCTGGTGATTTAAGCGAAACGACTAGGTCACGATGTTTGATGGAAGATGACATGAACCATGGGTTTGTCTAAGCTTGTTGTTCTCCCTAAATCCATGGTTTTGAAGTTTTGAACGCAAGTTTTTCCGAGTAAACTTGCAACTTTTGGGCATTCCACAAAAAATACAAGCTCGGGCAGCTCGGGTGACATTTGCACATATGTATATGAGTTTTTCCGGGGCAATTTTACTGGTAAAACATCATGACAATTGGCAAAAGACTTGGCAAAAGACTGGGCCCCAACATAACTGTGCCATAGAACGGCTGTTGTTTTAGCCAACTTGGGTCCCCTCGAAATCTTGTCTTGCAATCTTCAGGAAAAAATGCTAATTGATCAGCTGAACAAACAATAAATACATAAATACATAAATAAATACATATAGATAGATAAATATATACATATTGCAACATGTTAGTAAGATTTGTCGCGTCATCTGAGTAATGATGCCATCATCTCGATTCTCTCTCTCCCTCTGGCCATGTATATGTACTGTATATATGTATATGTATGTATGTGTATATACATACATGCATGCATGCATACATGCATACATACATACATACATCCATGCATGCATACATACATACATCCATGCATGCATGCATACATACAGGCAGACAGACAGACAGACAGACAGACACACACACACAGACAGACAGACAGACATACATACAGACATACAGACAGACAGACATACCATACCATACCATACCATACCATACCATACCATACCATACCATACCATACCATACCATACCATACCATACCATACATACACACGCACACACACACATATATATATATGATATATGCAGTATGCAGCAGTATGCATATGTCCCTCATCATCATTTGGGATGATGATCCCAGGCCACCAATGTTTCGAGTTTTTTTTTGACAAAGTGAATGGGCTGCAACCGCCAAGGGTTATTGACCTGGCGTTTCTTTACCCTTGGTGACGCTGGTGACTGTTTAAAAGTTTCATGATGTCCAGGGAACAAAATCTACAAACATCCAGGGAATGATGAGATCATGAAATTCCCCCCCACCACCTTTTCCGGATCGTGCCATGCCGAGGTAGTAAGCCCAGCACCCCCAGAGCCGTCCTACCCTGGCCGCCCCCTGGTGGTACGCCGGGCGCGGCGCGGCGCAACAGCTCCATGATCAGCGGCCTCCAACTGCCGCGGATGGGAGGCGGTGCTGGGCGTCGCGCCTCTGCTGCGGGGATGAGTAGCGTCGCCATGGCCAGAAGAGGCGCCCGGAGCGGCCAGAAAACATGTGGGGTAACAAGCATTCACAGGGATCATGGTCATGTCATAGTAATGTGATTGTCGTGGTATTTCATGGTATGCCATGGTGGCATGGTATGGTATGATATGGCATCGCATGGTATGGAATGGTATGTATATTTTAATTATAATTGATCAGTGATGGTTTGTGGTTATGGGTACTTGAGGGTGCAGGACTCTGGAATCGTAAGCCAATAGCCATATTACAACATTTACAGCGCATTTCTTTAGGTGGGCTGTTGTACACCAGGGGGATTAGCCACCCAGGGATTCAGAATCTGGGCAAAGCTACACGTTTTTCAAATCAATGTAAGAGTAAGTATTGCTAATCATGGAGATGATTACATATCTCTATCTATTTATATTTCTATATCTCTATTTATATCTATATCTATATCTTTTATATCTGTATATATCTGTATATATTTCTATCTCTCGATCTATCTACCTAGATCTAATTATCTACCTACCTGCCTACCTACCTACCTACCTATCAACCTATCTATATCTATCTACCTATTTATCTACATCATATGTAATTATGTCATTTCTAACTGATTAGTTGCAGGGTCTCTGATGGCGACCTATCCAGGCACCACAGTGGGCGTGGGCGGTTTGACCTTGCCTGGGCAGGCACGGTGAACTGTGGTCGACCGCGGCGGATGAATTTTGAGTAGATTTACCAAATAGATATCTCTCTCTCTCTCTCTCTCTCTCTCGCACACACACACATATATATATATGTATATATATATATACACACACATATATATATATTTTGGTGGCAGATATATGATGATATATGATATATGGATATCGATATTGATATGACATGATGATATGCTTAGGTTGTCTTTTCGTTGGCAATGAGTTGACTGTCGCATCGTTTCCGCGGCTGGGACCAGCGTGATTCATGTTCAGTGTGATTGATGTTCTAGGGCTCAAAACTTAGCCCCTGGTAAACGTTTACATAGCTATGGAAAAACACAATTTTTAATAGGTAAATCAACTATATATGGGCCATTGAGTCTATAGCTATGTTAGTTTACCAGAGGGTAGCCATACCAGTTGGACTTCAGAGCTGTCTCAAATGAAGTGTGTGGAGACTGCTGCCATAGCTTTTGACAGCTTGCAGGGTCTCATCAAAGTACAAAGGATGTAGCTGTTTCTTAAGACAACCTTCGGTCCAGCACGGAAAAATGAAGCAGCTGAGTCCCATGATGTATGGATATAAGACTATATAAGTCCCTACAATTCCCAGGATTGGGAAGAAAAAAACCGATTTGTCTATTGCCATTTTTGCTTGCCAGAGGGTAGCCGGCCCCAGAAAGATGAAAGGAAAACCCGCCATTTCTGTTCGCATTGCTGGGCCCCATTGGGCAGGCCTTGGAACAATGAATTCACTATTGAACTCTCGTTAACCAGGTTGCTAATAGGGGATAAGCCAAAATTATCTCTGGGGCAAGTCCTGGCTTTTCATTCAATAGCAATTCATAGTTTTATAGGCAGTTTTTTTTTCCCAAAAGCATCTCCGATGCTTGGGTTCTCGTTTAGTTGCACTCGCCGCGGGGGAGCGAGACTGAGTGGTCGACGGAGATGTGTTGGATGGAAGGAAGGAAGGAAGGAAAAGGAAGGAAGGAAAAGGAAGGAAGGAAAAGGAAGGAAAAGGAAGGAAGGAAAAGGAAGGAAAAGGAAGGAAGGAAGGAAGGAAGGAAAAGGAAGGAAGGAAAAGGAAGGAAGGAAAAGGAAGGAAGGAAAAGGAAGGAAGGAAAAGGACGGAAGGAAAAGGAAGGAAGGAAAAGGAAGGAAGGAAAAGGAAGGAAGGAAAAGGAAGGAAGGAAAAGGAAGAAAGGAAAAGGAAGGAAGGAAAAGGAAGGAAGGAAAAGGAAGGAAGGAAAAGGAAGGAAGGAAAAGGAAGGAAGGAAAAGGAAGGAAGGAAAAGGAAGGAAAGAAAAGGAAGGAAGGAAAAGGAAGGAAGGAAAAGGAAGGAAGGAAAAGGAAGGAAGGAACAGGAAGGAAGGAAAAGGAAGGAAGGAAAAGGAAGGAAGGAAAAGGAAGGAAGGAAAAGGAAGGAAGGAAAAGGAAGGAAGGAAAAGGAAGGAAGGAAAAGGAAGGAAGGAAGGGAAGGAAGAAGGAAAGGAAGGGAAGGAAAAGGAAGGAAGGAAAAGGAAGGAAGGAAAAGGAAGGAAGGAAAAGGAAGGAAGGAAAAGGAAGGAAGGAAAATGAAGGAAGGAAAAGGAAGGAAGGAAAAGGAAGGAAGGAAAAGGAAGGAAGGAAAAGGAAGGAAGGAAAAGGAAGGAAGGAAAAGGAAGGGAAGGAAGAAGGAAGGAAGGGAAGGAAGAAGGAAGGAAGGGAAGGAAGGGAAGGAAGGGAAGGAAGGGAAAATAGCTTGGGGAAACTTCGCTGGGACGGAGCGAAGGAAGGGAAGGAAGGGAAGGAAGGGAAGGAAGGGAAGGAAGGGAAGGAAGCCGTGGAAATAGGTTGGGGAAATAGCTTGGGGAAACTTCGCTGGGAGGGAGCGAGACCGGATGCTCGACGGGATGAAGCCGTGGAAATAGATTGGGGAAATAGCTTGGGGAAACTTCGCTGGGAGGGAGCGAGACCGGATGCTCGACGGGATGAAGCCGTGGAAATAGCTTGGGGAAATAGCTTGGGGAAACTTCGCTGGGAGGGAGCGCGACCGGATGCTCGACGGGATGAAGCCGTGGAAATAGCTTGGGGAAACTGCGCTGGGAGGGAGCGAGACCGGATGCTCGACGGGATGAAGCAGTGGAAATAGCTTGGGGAAACTGCGCTGGGAGGGAGCGAGACCGGATGCTCGACGGGATGAAGCCGTGGAAATAGCTTGGGGAAATAGCTTGGGGAAACTTCGCTGGGGGAGCGAGACCGGATGCTCGACGGGATGAAGCCATGGAAATAGCTTGGGGAAACTGCGCTGGGAGGGAGCGAGACCGGATGCTCGACGGGATGAAGCCGTGGAAATAGCTGGGGGAAACTTCGCTGGGAGGGAGCGAGACCGGATGCTCGACGGGATGAAGCTGTGGAAATAGCTTGGGGAAACTGCGCTGGGACAGAGCGAGACCGGATGCTCGACGGGATGAAGCCGTGGAAATAGCTTGGGGAAACTGCGCTGGGAGGGAGCGAGACCGGATGCTCGAGGGGATGAAGCCGTGGAAATAGCTTGGGGAAATAGCTTGGGGAAACTTCGCTGGGTGGGACAGAGCGAGACCGGATGCTCGACGGGATGAAGCCGTGGAAATAGCTTGGGGAAACTGCGCTGGGAGGGAGCGAGACCGG